AAGAAATAGGAGTGATCCAGTGCTTGAGGGACACTCTTGCAGCACTGTCTGTGGTAGGAAGTGGGTTAAGCTGAAAGCAGTATTGCTAGCATGAAGAGAAGAAAGAAAATGGGTCAGCAATTTGTTTCTTCTTTTACAGATATCAGTAAGTTAGCTGTTTAAGAAAGGGAATGCCAAGTTTTGCATGGCTATCTTGTACTTTTTAAGGTCCTCTGTATCTGGATTAAAGACAGCCCATTTGTGTTTATTTAAATGGCTTTTTTTGGCAGGGCATGAGGAGCTAAGCATGCATTAGCACTCAATTGAGGCATTATGAAGAAAAATTGCAACACATGGGGAGGAGGAATATGCCCCTCTCTAGGTCTTTGTTGTAAAACTCTTTCAACTTCCCAAGCTTAGCCTCTCTTTTTTTGTAATCCTTGTTATTTGTTTGCACCGTTTTAACTATGATGGACTCTACTTTGGTGGTGGTTTTGGTGTTAAAGATGTTACCTGCAATATGCATTTGTCCTTTGTGTAAAATGTGTAAGCACTTTATGGTGTCTGTATTTATGTCTGTTCCAAGGCAAGAAGGCCGTTCATCATTTTTCTCATATTGCATACTTCTATTGTAACAACCTGTTTACATGTGACAGTTAAATGCATATAGAAAAAAAAAAAACTGCATGAATGATGTATTGTGAAGGGATATGAGAGATTTTTTGCTAAGCCCCCAAGTCAGTTCCTTGCAGGTTTCATTTCTACGTTCTACATGTAGACTGGCTCTGGATTGGTTGCATATCAAAATGCTCAGTATTACAGAATTGTAGGGGTTGGAAGGGACTCCTGGAGATCATCTAGTCCAACCCCCCTGACAAAGCAGATCACCTAGAGCAGGTTGGACAGGAACGCATCAATGTGGGTTTTGAGTATCTCCAGAGAAGGAGATTTCACAACCTCTCTGGGCAGCCTGTTCCAGTGCTCTGCCACCCTCAGAGTAAAGAAGTTTTTCCTCAAATTGAGATGGAATTTCCTGTGTTCCAGTTTGTGCTCATTGCCCTTTGTGCTGTTGCCAGCCACCACTAAAAAGTCTGGTCCTGTCTTTTTGACGCCCGGCCTTTCCTCATGAGAGAGGTGCTCCTGTTCCTTGACTATCTTCATAGCCCTCCACTGGACTCTCATCAGTAGTTCCCTGTCCTTCTGAACTGGGGAGCCCAGAACTAGACACAGCACTCCAGATTCAACCTCACCAGGGCAGAGTAGGGGGGGAGGATGACCTCCCTCGACCTGTTGGTAAAACATGTTTGATGTAAAAGATACATATAAATTGAGATTGGTAGGAAGTTCATACTGAGTTCAGAAAGATTCCTATCACACCCTCAAATCTTTCCTCTGTAAGTCTAAACAGTCGTTGTTTGTCAGTTTCTCTTCTTGCCATTTTACTGTCTTCTTTCTATAGAAAATGAAATATTCATTTCCTTTCTTTGGTGAGCCTTGTAATTTATCAGAATTTAACTTCATCTGTAGTAGGAAAAAACAATGCAATTTGACACCACTTAAAAACAATGACGTGCCTCTCCTTTGTCTTTTTCCTGGTCAGGCCTTAGTCTGGCATTAAATTTTATTCAAGTGTGAGCTTGCAACTTGGAAGGGCTTTCGTTATTTTTTTGTTTGACAGAAAAGCTGTGTATTGTCAAAGAGTACAGAAGGCAACCTGAACATAAATGTCTTTGTGTAGGTGGAAGGGGGCTGGAGCTTCCAGCGCTTTCTATCTTGGGTCCCTCTTTGGCAGGAGTGCCAGTTGGGTTGGTGTTCCCAGGGGCCAGGGCAGGTGGGTGGCAGCCCTGTTCCTTTATTCCTTCAGAATTTGAGAACGGACGGATAGTTCTCGAGCCACACAAACACCTGTTCAAGCTTCTTTTGCCATACTCGTGGTAATATTCACCTGGCTTAGTTCTCTCCTATTTTTGTCATCTCTATTTACTGTCTTTTGTTCACATTTATGTTGTTCTTTCTGCTTCTCTGCTTTCCCTTCCCCCCTCACCCATTTCCTCTTGAGTTTTTCCTTCCCTGCCAAGTCACTCCTCATTTTCATTTTACATGCTGCCTACAATACTTCTCCTGAGTCTTTTCTTATTCCCTTTTGATTAGCTTTTTATTTGGTGTAGAGATTGCATATGCAGACAAGAATGCTTAGAATTTAGACAACTGTTGGATAGCTTCCTAACACAATCTGAAGTTCACATTCAGGGATTTATGCATGCTACCAAAAATTGTCTTTAGAATAATGCACAGAGCTCCTGTGCTCCAAGGCACTTTGCTCACATTAACAGGGTTTTTGAATCAAATATTGTTCAGGTGAAGTGGTAATAGCATTGTGAAAGATACGTCTCCTTTGGTCTGGATGGTTTTGCCATGTTAAGGGTGAAAAATCTGTCAATAAATGGATAATTTAGTGAAGAGAGTCTGTAAGAGTAAGATCCCATCTCAGAAGGTTATTGAACTGAAATGGAAAATTTTCTGAACAAAGACTGGCGTAGTTCCAGTGTTGCTACCTGCCAGGAGATAATAAAATGCAGTTAAAAAAATACTGGTATTGTTGAAGAAATACTGCAGCCCAGCCACCAGTATTTCATCTTACAGAAAGGCTGATGTGTACATTAGTACTAGGAATAAGTTCTGTTTCATGTAATCTCAGTGATGTTGTATTAAGAGGAGTGTTTAGAAAATATAGGAGTTCTCCCCAAAGTGTTAACATGGTTTTGGTGCTGTGAATACTCATAAAACCTTCAGTGGGGTGAGAACACCAGCGAGACCATGCTCATCCCCCCAGACAGCTGAGATTTATTTTAACTAAAGCTCCAAAAGGTGCAGTCCTTTTAATTCCTGTTTCTACACGCCACGTTCATAGGTGCAAAAATTCCTGAGTCTGACAGTTATTTCCTTACTGTCTACAGTCATACCAGCAAAAATAGCCCATAGAATATTTTAAGCACCTGCTCTGGAAAATCAGGAGGCTTCAGTAAGAAGACAGTGAAATGCTCTAGAACCCAAGTAATTATTGTGATATCCTTGATCAAGACGGCTATTGGCAGAAGTCGTCAGCTTTTTCCTCAATTCTTGGGAATCTTAACTACTTATAGATACATTTCTTTTTCTTTTTAAAAGCAAAAGTATATATTCTCTCTGGTCTCCACATATAAATGACAAACTTCCTCTTTTTGCATCTGGTTCCTCGCATCCCGGTCCACTTCATGCCCATCCATGACAGAAAGAACATTTTGTAATTTGTTTGCTGTAGCGGTTTTGCAGCTTACGTTCTGGGGAAGAGCCCTGTGCCCTCAGCTCCTTGTGAAGCACTTTGGCATTTCCTACGGGTGATGTTAAACCTTGCCTAATCTGCAAGTGATGTGCAGCAGGAACTGGTCTGCCACAAATGCCCGTCCCAGCAGTGTGCCTGTGCGGCAGCAGAGCCCTGCCACGGTCCAGGTTGGAATGGTGAAGTTGTAGCCACAGGGTTAAGGGAGGTGATTTATTTATTTTTTTCCCCCTCTCTGTCCAGAACCTATGAGACCACATCTGGAGCGCTGTGTCAAGCTTAAGAGAAGAAAAAGTAAATGTCAGAGATTTTATTTTTGTTCAGTCGCTGCTTTAAAAACTCGGTGCCTTAATTACAGATCTTGTGCTGCTTAGGTTGTATGGGTTTTGTTTAAGTTCAGAAACCTGTCTAAAATGCACATTGGACTTGTCTGAAGAAGTTGGCTTTGATGTGTAGCTTGGTTTGCTTTTTCCTGGTCCCCTCATCAGGTGGACTATGAGGAATCCTTTGCAGAGGGGCTGTTGCATTTGCAATTGCTCATTTTCATGGCTGCTGGGGAAGAAGACAATGGTTATTGGGGCTATGGCTGGTTGGCAGTCATCCTGTGAAGTTCAGTGCTTCTGTCCATCTCTGTGACACCACCCTGACTGTCCCTGGTTGGTCTTTCCTGGCTCTGACAGCTGGTTCCCAGTAACTCTTTTCCCAGTTATTGTCCCATTCTTCAGGGTGGAATAAAATGAAAACTCTCCAGGTGAAGCTGGTGGGATTCACATCTTCATGGCTTTTCTGGGGACTTCTTAAAAAGCCTAGTGCTGCGTAGTGTCTGTAGTACGGTCTGTGTGGTTTTCAGACCAGTTCCCCACACCAGAACAGTACTAGCAGGTCCCAGGCCATTCTTGAAAATCACGTCCTCAGTTCAGGACAACTTTCTGCACTTCACTCCTTGCCCCTGTCTGAACTAGTTACTAGAGGCTCCCTTTATTGTCCATGATGAAAATGGTCTCTTGTAGGGCATCATTCAGCTGGTGAGAGGAACTGAGTATCTCAGCAGGAAGCATTTGGTGGAAGTCACAAGTGCAGTGTTTGGTCAGGTGTCTTCCCAAAAGAACTAGTCCTAGGTGTCCTGTTTGTTGGTTTGATTTTCATGGGCCCTTAAATAGGTCAGGGGAAGGGTGATGAAAATGTTCAGGTCAAGGATGACCTGTCTTGTAACCTGACCTCTCTGTGTTTCACGAAGGAAATATTGAAGCATGTAGTGAGACTTCCCAGCTAAGACATTGACTGACCTTCATTCTGGTCTTAAATGTTCTCTTAACACTCAGTGCTGCTGGACTGTATGAATCTAAACTATGATGGCATGCCGGAGACATCTATTGCCAGAGAGCATTTCTGATACATAAAATTACAGGATTGATTTTGATATATCTATCTAGCAATGCCAAAAATGAACAGGAAATGGGCCTTTTTGTATGGGAAGAATTAGGAAAAAAATGTATGATCTGTTGCAGTACTCAAACTGATTTACTGGTTTCTCATTATTGTGGGAGGGGAAAGGCAAAATGCTAATTTAATTATCTAAATGCTAAAACCATAGCTAAAAAGATCTGTGCAATAAATAAACACATTCTAATTTCAGATTAGCCCATGAAAAAGTATTTTCTCCCTTGCCTCATTGATTAAAAAATATTTTCTCTTTTTACAGTATATTCACTCTTCAGGCATAATTCATAGGGTAAGTGGAAACAATATAAAAGATGTTTATATTCTGATAATGTGAATGGTGTTTGTGTATAAACATGCTCATGAACATGCCTGAACTTCTGTTTATAGTGTCTCTATTTATAGTGTTTGATGATGCCTTGGTTTCTTGTTCAATAGGAACAAAAGGTGCTGTAGCTACATCAGTGTAATTTGGGCACTCAAGTTGCACTGAATACAGCTTAGATTTGGATTTCTTAAATTATTTTGTGAAGTTAAGTTGCAAGTCTTATATCTGGGTATTTTTTTTTCTCTCTTTATGACTGTGAATGTCTAAGAGTCACTGACGTTGCAAAATCTTACTAACCTTTGCCAGTACTCTTCCCTTTGTTGCTAAACTTAGAAGTACAACTTTTAAGATCATTAGAAGTCTTCACAATAGCTGAAGAGGCTTCAGGGAATTTTTTTTTTTTGATGTTACACTCTTCATTCAATTCACTTCATTAGGAAAGTGATTTTCCCACAGAAGAGAGCATAGGCTTTTAGTAAAATCTTGTTTGATTCCTTCAGTACTCACTTCGAAGTCTAGAAGGGTATGGAACCTTTTTAAAGTCGCAGTAAAATGAGTGAGTTTCTTCACTGGCAAGTGTTTTCTGACTTCTTACGGGAAAAAAAAGTTGATTTGTCTGGGGGGAAAATATACTGGAAAAAAAGCCAAGCATATTCAAGTTTGTGTCTTTGTTTCTGTTATTTGTTACATTTCATTTTCTAACGTAGATTTATGACATGGTTTTACCTGTTGCTGTTCTAAGTAGTTGTATGAAAGCCATTAAACCTAAATGAAAGACAGAAAGTGTGCTTTATTGTGCTTGCTGTAAAATAAATAAATAACATCCATTTCAAATCTGATTACAGGATCTAAAGCCTGGAAACTTGGCAGTAAACGAAGACTGTGAATTGAAGGTAGGATATGTTTATTTGAAAAAACAGTCAGATGTGTTAGAAACACACCACAGGAGACAAGGGGTGAAACAGCTGTAGACATGCTGGCTGGTTTCAGTGATGGGCCAGGCTTTCAGACCATGGGCTTGAGGGGCCATGGAGAAATAGGGGAAGGCTGGAAAAGGAAAGGGAATAGGCAGTGGTAACAGTCTTGAAAAACAATTAGAAGACACTGCTACTTGTAAGTATTTTTCCATTTGTCTGACTTCGGTCACCACAAGAATAATTAATATTTGTTTAAGAAATGAAGCCCTGAATAATGAGAATCTCTTTACTTCTTATTTGTATATCCTTGACTGACATAAAAACCGAGAGAGGATCTCATCAATGCTTATAAATATCTACAGGGTGGGCATCAAGAGGATGGGGCCAGACTCTTTTTAGTGGTGCCCAGTGACAGGACAAGGGGCAATCGGCGCAAACTGGAACACAGGAAATTCCATCTCGACATGAGGAAAAACTTCTTTACTTTGAGGGTGACAGAGCACTGGAACAGGCTGCCCAGAGAGGTGGTGGAGTCTCCTCCTCTGGAGACATTCAAAACCTGCCTGAATGCGTTCCTGTCCAACCTGCTCTGGGTGAACCTGGTTTGTCAGGGGGGTTGGACTAGATGCTCTCCAGAGGTCCCTTCCAACCCCTACCATTCTCTGATTCTATACAAATGGCAAAGGTGATGATCAATTTCTGAGATCATTCTGGAGCCGGGCACAAGAAATGGCTGCACCTCAATCTAGAAACGTTGCCCAGGAGGTCCCAGCTGAAAACATCCAGTCCAGACAGGACGTTCTGGGAAGCTGGTACCCAGTGCTAACAGGGGAGAGGTGGGGGTTGACCCAAAGATGTAGAGAAGGATTTCTGGTGAGGAAGTTATTGCATTCATGGCATCCCTGGAGCATTTACTGACTTGGGTCCCTGCCGCTGGGTGAAGGGCAATGTAAGAACTGAAACTGCTGCTGAGGGTTTGGCATTGACAGAGCAGTCCACGCCACAGCTGTGTGCCCACACCAAGCGCGTGTGCATGACAGTAATAGCCTTTTCCTGTGTGATGTGTGTGTTGCAATGAATGCTGGCATATTTTTATGCAGTCATTCAACTAAAAGTACTTTCCAAGAAAAATTCACGTTGCGGTTAGCTGGATATAAGAGCTGTAATGCTTTTAAAATATGCTGCAGATAATCACTTCAGAGTGAAGCGTGAGAGGAATCTCATACTGTTCACCATGAACAAGAATATCTTATTTCTTTGAAAGTGATTCCTTCTGCGCTGTTACAACTAACAGTAGTATCAATTGCATGGAGACTACAGTGTGTTTCATAGCAGGAATATATCGGTTCTGCTTCATTTTTGCTCTCAATTGAAGTAGTGAGGAAAAAAAAAATTATTAAAGGGAGCCAATTCCTAATTCAGCCTCCTATAGCTCAGCTAATAGCGGTTTCTGCCACTATGCTGCAATACAGGTGCATTTGATGACATTTTTTGTATTACCGAATGGTGTTTGTGTATAAACATGCTCATGAACATGCCTGAACTTCTGTTTATAGTGTCTCTATTTATAGTGTTTGATGATGCCTTGGTTTCTTGTTCAATAGGAACAAAAGGTGCTGTAGCTACATCAGTGTAATTTGGGCACTCAAGTTGCACTGAATACAGCTTAGATTTGGATTTCTTAAATTATTTTGTGAAGTTAAGTTGCAAGTCTTATATCTGGGTATTTTTTTTTCTCTCTTTATGACTGTGAATGTCTAAGAGTCACTGACGTTGCAAAATCTTACTAACCTTTGCCAGTACTCTTCCCTTTGTTGTTAAACTTAGAAGTACAACTTTTAAGATCATTAGAAGTCTTCACAATAGCTGAAGAGGCTTCAGGGAATTTTTTTTTTTTGATGTTACACTCTTCATTCAATTCACTTCATTAGGAAAGTGATTTTCCCACAGAAGAGAGCATAGGCTTTTAGTAAAATCTTGTTTGATTCCTTCAGTACTCACTTCGAAGTCTAGAAGGGTATGGAACCTTTTTAAAGTCGCAGTAAAATGAGTGAGTTTCTTCACTGGCAAGTGTTTTCTGACTTCTTACGGGAAAAAAAAGTTGATTTGTCTGGGGGGAAAATATACTGGAAAAAAAGCCAAGCATATTCAAGTTTGTGTCTTTGTTTCTGTTATTTGTTACATTTCATTTTCTAACGTAGATTTATGACATGGTTTTACCTGTTGCTGTTCTAAGTAGTTGTATGAAAGCCATTAAACCTAAATGAAAGACAGAAAGTGTGCTTTATTGTGCTTGCTGTAAAATAAATAAATAACATCCATTTCAAATCTGATTACAGGATCTAAAGCCTGGAAACTTGGCAGTAAACGAAGACTGTGAATTGAAGGTAGGATATGTTTATTTGAAAAAACAGTCAGATGTGTTAGAAACACACCACAGGAGACAAGGGGTGAAACAGCTGTAGACATGCTGGCTGGTTTCAGTGATGGGCCAGGCTTTCAGACCATGGGCTTGAGGGGCCATGGAGAAATAGGGGAAGGCTGGAAAAGGAAAGGGAATAGGCAGTGGTAACAGTCTTGAAAAACAATTAGAAGACACTGCTACTTGTAAGTATTTTTCCATTTGTCTGACTTCGGTCACCACAAGAATAATTAATATTTGTTTAAGAAATGAAGCCCTGAATAATGAGAATCTCTTTACTTCTTATTTGTATATCCTTGACTGACATAAAAACCGAGAGAGGATCTCATCAATGCTTATAAATATCTACAGGGTGGGCATCAAGAGGATGGGGCCAGACTCTTTTTAGTGGTGCCCAGTGACAGGACAAGGGGCAATCGGCGCAAACTGGAACACAGGAAATTCCATCTCGACATGAGGAAAAACTTCTTTACTTTGAGGGTGACAGAGCACTGGAACAGGCTGCCCAGAGAGGTGGTGGAGTCTCCTCCTCTGGAGACATTCAAAACCTGCCTGAATGCGTTCCTGTCCAACCTGCTCTGGGTGAACCTGGTTTGTCAGGGGGGTTGGACTAGATGCTCTCCAGAGGTCCCTTCCAACCCCTACCATTCTCTGATTCTATACAAATGGCAAAGGTGATGATCAATTTCTGAGATCATTCTGGAGCCGGGCACAAGAAATGGCTGCACCTCAATCTAGAAACGTTGCCCAGGAGGTCCCAGCTGAAAACATCCAGTCCAGACAGGACGTTCTGGGAAGCTGGTACCCAGTGCTAACAGGGGAGAGGTGGGGGTTGACCCAAAGATGTAGAGAAGGATTTCTGGTGAGGAAGTTATTGCATTCATGGCATCCCTGGAGCATTTACTGACTTGGGTCCCTGCCGCTGGGTGAAGGGCAATGTAAGAACTGAAACTGCTGCTGAGGGTTTGGCATTGACAGAGCAGTCCACGCCACAGCTGTGTGCCCACACCAAGCGCGTGTGCATGACAGTAATAGCCTTTTCCTGTGTGATGTGTGTGTTGCAATGAATGCTGGCATATTTTTATGCAGTCATTCAACTAAAAGTACTTTCCAAGAAAAATTCACGTTGCGGTTAGCTGGATATAAGAGCTGTAATGCTTTTAAAATATGCTGCAGATAATCACTTCAGAGTGAAGCGTGAGAGGAATCTCATACTGTTCACCATGAACAAGAATATCTTATTTCTTTGAAAGTGATTCCTTCTGCGCTGTTACAACTAACAGTAGTATCAATTGCATGGAGACTACAGTGTGTTTCATAGCAGGAATATATCGGTTCTGCTTCATTTTTGCTCTCAATTGAAGTAGTGAGGAAAAAAAAAATTATTAAAGGGAGCCAATTCCTAATTCAGCCTCCTATAGCTCAGCTAATAGCGGTTTCTGCCACTATGCTGCAATACAGGTGCATTTGATGACATTTTTTGTATTACGTGGTTGCAACTTCTCTAGAGCAGGGCAAGTATTGGTGTGTATCATGACTCCCTTTATCCCACCCATCGGGGCTTCCCTCGAAAGGTGGGTAGGAGGATGGTGTGCACTCACACACCTTCCCAGAGTGGAAACTGGGCTTAGCTGGCATGCACCCTTGGGGACCCGCTGTGGAAAGTTATCTGTCTTGAAGTGTAGCTGTTGCCACTTCCTTGGAAGTGTTCTTAGTAGAGTCCATCTGAGTAGTAATCCTTCCCTCTTGTTTGTCAGTCTTCCTCAGTCTTCCTTCTGCATCACTGAACAGAAATACTGAATCTGACCAGTTCTGATTGCAGTTTCCTACATAGACTAGAAATCTTCCAAAGCCTGTTAGAGTAGATAATATTTGTACTTCAGAAATAATTATGCAATGTACCCTGACCTAGCAAAAAATGCATCTTTTCAGCTGTGTAGAATTACTTCGTTATAAAAAAGCCAATTATTTATTATGAAGTAGAATTATGTAGTACTCAACACCTCTTATTTTATGAATATAATTTATTGTATTCAGTATATAGTACCTTCAGACTGCTTCCAATACCCAGTTAATTCTATCCTTGCATTTTAATAGACCATTATTAATTTTTAGAATTGTTTTGGTTACTTATCTTCTCTTACCTCTAGCAATCTTGAAAGGCTAGTCAGGGATTTTCAGTTAATTACAAAATCATATCTTCTGTGCTTGAATCATTACTGACGTATACATCCTCACAAATCAGCAGTACATTTGAATGGGGGCTTTTGTGTCCTGATGTGTAAGTACATTGAGATGTTATGGCTAGAGTTTCCTCCCTAAAAGAGACATAAGACTTTATGGGAGTAGTTAGTTATGTGAGAATTCTAGCTTTGAATAAATATAAAATGTCTAACTCTACAAGCTGGGAGGTACAGAAGCTCATAGATTGTGAGGCACTCTCTTAATTAAATGAATTAAAAGTTGATGCAACACTGCAAAAATGGTATTCAGTATATAACATACAAGTTCTATACTTGCATGTAGCTGTTCTAATACTATTTTTTTCTCTTTGGAGACTGACCTGAATGTTCAGGGTCCTGTCATTTCAGAATTTCCCTAACACAGAAAGCTGTTGTCTCCTCCTGGCTTGTAGGCAGAGTGGGTCTGAGAGGTGATGGGGGGGGCAAAAACAGAATCTGGAAAAGGCACATTATATGTTTCTTCCCCTTCCTTCTTCGCCCCTCTCCCCAGCTGTGCAATTACATCTTGATATGCAGCCCAGGTCTAAGGCATTCTTCCATGATAAGATCACTGTATCTCCTCATTTAACACAAGTTATTTTTCTGTTACCTTGGACATTTTTAAGCTTTTAGATAAACTGAGGTGAATAATTCTGTATCAGAACACGATTTTGTGAAATGGCATAGTGACAGTGTAGCATTAAGCTTTAGGTTTTGCTTCCTGACTCTGGGAGTGAAGTGATGCTGTTCCTGTTTGTATGATAAGCTGTGATATCACATGGAGAAGAAAAGTGCAAATTTGCAGTTAGAAAATACTGGTTGTCAAAAGGCAACTCTGGTCTATAAAAGAAAGCACAGGACCACACTGCCAGGGATGGTCCATACCTTTTCCCCCACGTCTGTGCACTCAGCAGCTTCCCTTGCGTCAGCTCCAGCGGCAATGAAGCTGAAGGCAAGTTGGAACAGTTCCTTGAATTGGTAATAATTAATAAGCAATCAGTTTTATTTTCCACAATGAGCTTTCTGGCTTTCTTGTCTGGTACTCTCAACTGCTACACAGGAATCAGAAATGTGATAGTGAAGGGTGCCTTAGGGGAAATCACTGCCCTTTCTGCAGTCTTGAAGTTACAAGCTATTTTTGTTGTGGTTATTGAGGCAAGTTAGGAAAATTAAGTTTGCTGAGTAGAAGGGGAGCTTATCTTTGAGGGGAATTTGCTCTCTCTTTCATAATTTCTGCATTATAAAAAGGATTTGCAAACTTGCTCAGAAAGTTGCTTTGGAAGTTCTAGCTGAAAAGTTGAAGTATGAGAATAATAGTTTCATAGTTTCATCTGGATATTGTTGTTGAAGTTGTACCGTGTTAGTATTAAGTACTAACAAGACACACTTGTTCCTGAGCCTAATGAGTATCTAAATGAAAAGAAATCATGAAGTTAATACACAATGCACAAAAATTCTCCGTCGTTTTCTGCTTTCACAAAAATACAAGCACAAATTATATTTTAGCTGTCTCCAACTCCAAGCGTCACAAACCTTAGGATTGAAAAGGCCTAAAAAGCTGTGACAGAATAGATGGTACCACATGTGGCTTTTGACCTATTGCGTAAAACTTCCTTTTTTCTTCCACAATCCCCCTTTCCTGTTACTGGGAAGACATAATGTGTGTTGTGCACATAGAATAAATTTGAAAGCTGTATATAAAAGTGTATTTTGTTACTGCAAATGTTTTGATTCCAGTAAATCTTCAGTACCCAAAGTTCTGAGGGATAACTTCAGCTGTAATCAATTGTATTTTATTGGTAAGAATAAAAATCCCTCCCTTGGCATCCTGTTCCTGTTCTTAAATTGATAGGTAATCAGCAGTTATGGGGAAGATGTGGAAATGATGTTTCAAGTATGGTAATAAAGATCAGCCATAACATTTTATACTCTTGATCTATGAATGAAATTATAATTTTCCTTTCTGCTGGCTCTAGGGAATGATGAAACTATCCTGAAATATTTTAAAATGTTTAATTACAGAGGGCATTAAAACACATCACTCTCGGTATGTTGATGCAGGGGTGCTCCTAGTAAAAATGTCTGCCTTGTCAATATAGATGAAGCCTGATACACATGGAAACTAGTGGCTGTTCATGCAAAGCTTCATTTTCAAATATGTGTGGATGATGACGGTGATTTATCTTGAACAGACTTTACTTAGCCAAGACCCCATCTTCTTAGAAGCATGAACTTCCTGATAAACTATGAGGTGACTCTCATTCTGGGAGTGGCCCTCACTGTTGGCTGCATCTTCTGGCACCATCTTTTGAAGGTCTATACAGGTGGGCCGTTATGTTAGCCAATTTTGTAGAAGTTGATGAAAGGCTATAACATACATTTTTAATCTTGCTGCTCTACATGTTGCTATATCTAGAGATAAATGAAAGTCTTAGAAATAAGCTAAATTGTGTATCATCCTTTAAAAAAAATTGCACAGACCTTGCGTTTCTTACAGAGGGTTGTTCTGTAGTTGACACAGTAGGTTGGGGAAAACTCAGTGGGACTAAATAATGGTAATTCCTTACTCATGTACATTTTCAGTGTGACCTAGAGGAAGCTTTCCCTTGTATGAAAACCTATAAAACAAAGAGAATGATTCCTTCTTACTTCAGAATATTATTCGAACACACTCTTGAGTATTTGTACCGCCTGGGATATGAGAGCAATGAATGCCACATAAGACGGGTGCTCCTCTTTTAGCCCTTAGAAGCTACAATTGTCATTCCATGCCAGGGAATTTTTTGCATTGAATAGGACCCATATATTTTAATTAAATAATTGAAGGATTTATTCTGTTCTTTACTGGTTTTACAGCTTTTAGTGTTGCTATAGGAGTATCTAACGCAGGAAAAAAATATTGTAAAGCTGCTTGCTACTTCTGTCTTGACTTTTCAAGTGAGAACAAGACACTTCAATGAGAAAAAAGATGCAAAAATAAGCCAGTCTCTGCAGGATGCTCCAATTTTTTTATTTTCCACATTTTTAAAGTCCATATAAAATAGATAACTAGTTGTTTGATCAGGATGTTCTTTATGTTTCTACTACAGATTCTGGATTTTGGATTGGCAAGGCATACAGACAGTGAGATGACCGGTTACGTGGTTACGAGGTGGTACAGAGCCCCAGAGGTCATACTTAACTGGATGCATTATACGCAAACAGGTCAGCATCTCTTCAGAAAAGGCTTAGCAGAGCTGAAGCCTTCCCTCAATCAGGCAATATATAAGCAAGTCTTTGTTTCTGAAGTGAACGATAAATTGGGAGGTGGGAAATGACAGTATAATTATGCAAAACTTCCTTGTAGATAAATTGCAGGAAATGGTTTGGTGGTTGTGAGTTTGGGGGCTTTTTTGTGTGTTTTCTGAGAGTAACGGAAAGAGCCAAGGTGGTTGGAAAAAGCAATACAAATGTCTAGAGATGTGACAGTCTGCTCTACCTTCTTGTGTTCTGCACTGACTGTCATCTTCCTGCAGAGATGTGCTGGTTGTAACTCAAGCAGACAGGGGAAAATGGCAGAAGGAGGGAATTCAAGTAACTGTAGGATGACTAGGGAAGTTTTTGAAAGCATTGAAAATTTACTTCCCACATACATCTGCCTCTTACTGAGAAACTGATTCTGTATATTATGAGATTATCTCCAGTTTGCTAATTAGAAAGGCTGGTAGTTTTGCCTATACTGTTCATCACGCTTGGCAAAGCACACATCATTTTGTAACAGGCTATAAAGGCAAATTTTACAAGTCTTTAAAATATGTTTTAAATTAAATTTTATGTACATTTAAATAGCCAAGTATTCAGCTCTTTAATGTGACTGTTGGTCTTTTCCAGTTGACATCTGGTCTGTGGGCTGTATAATGGCTGAGATGATAACGGGGAGGCCTTTGTTCAAAGGAAATGATCGTATCCTTCAGTGAATTTATGACACTAATGTAAGAAAATGATGAGAGGCTCTTATGTGATACAGTAGGTCTGTTCAAAAGCTGATGAGCATAAATTGAAATGAATAATAAAATGGCTTGCACCGTTCTCATTAACTGGTTATTTAATATCTGTACTGCTTTTTCTCATCTGCAAATTAGAACTTGTATTACTGAACTTTTTGAATAGAGAAAGAGGGGTGATCTTTGAATCACATCTGAAATCATCAGCTGGAAGATTCTGTGGTGATAGAAAAGGCACATTTTGATTTATTTTATTTTTAGTGACAGATTCCACAACTCCAGAACAGGCACAGAAGATTTAGCTGTAGTATATGGACTTAATGTGCAAGTGCTAGTCCATTTCATGCATTTTTAGACTGTTACCAAAAACTGGTGTGTAAGTAACATCTAGTAAAATGTTTTAGATTTACAAAAAAACATCTAGTCCTATCATTAAATTGTTGCAGAATTAAGAAGATAGTTAAGATTAAGCCATAATTCAACTTCAGCTTCATTGACAGTAGTAGTTGTGGTGGTTAATAGAGGACAGTGTTAATAGAACGCAGCAAGAATTTTTTACTTTTTTGTTTTTGTTTTCCAGCTTTGTATGTTTGACAGTTCAGCCTGATCATTTTGCAGTGCTTTTCCCCTTGCGGAGTTCCAGTCAATAAACTGCTTATCTGCAAATACTTGTTTACAGAATCACAATTGTTTAATTTTAGTCATATTTGTACTTAAGTACTTGCATATAAGGTTAGGACTTCATTACATGGATCATACTATTCTCCTTTAGTGAGGAAAACCATAGAAAAGGAAGATTGCATTCACCAAAAAAAAAAAAAATATGGGGACTATGGGAAAGTAGAAAACATCAAATTATATCAGCTGTACAGATTTTGAGTACGCATTAGTTGTTAACAAGAAAATATGAAGATGCCTGCCAAAGAACCTTGAGCGTTCTGGTACATAAATACGGAAATGAATGAGTCATAATTTTCAAGTTGCACTGTAAATGTAATAATGGAGAAGCTAATATTTAATCATACTGGGTTTTGGAGATTTCAGAACTATTGGCTGAAATCCTGCGTCCTGTGTTACGAAGGAAACTATCTCAGCGTAATAGTCCTTGCTGGCCTTTCAGTATGTGAATCAGTATTACCTGTTGTCAGGGAAATGCAGCTGTGGGTTCAGCTGTGAGAAGGTGAATAAGAAAACAGCTAACTTAAGGGATTCCTGTTTAAGGATTATGAATAGCTTATCCTACAAACTTGGTTTGGGATTTTATTTATTTACTTATTTCATCGGCATTACTCACCATTGCCTTTTTCTGCAGAGGTTGGAAGAATCCTCATGTGCCAATCGCTGGTCTGGCTTCTCATCTGCTGCTCTTACCAGAGGAGCACATGAGTCACAAAGCTGTTCTCTGCAGCATTAGCCTCCTGTGAATACGCTGTTTCTTCTTTAAACAGCTAATACTGTTATTGATTAATCTGTGCTGGTTTAGGACACAGAAGACTAGGGAGTGTTCTGATGCCTTACCCCAATGTCTCCAACATCTCAGCATCTGGAATTGAGCTGAGCATGTGGGAAATGAGGAGAGAGAGGAATTAATTTATTTTTTTTCCTTGAAGTTTCTCAGTATGGAGAAGAACTGATACAGACTGGTTTCCTCTGACTTTTGCTCTGTTTATCATGCCACCTGATGTTCCCTGTGACTTCTTCTGCCTCTGTCACCTAAATATTGGATAGATGAGGGCGATGTGTGCAATACATGTGTTGATTGTTCAGATACTCCAATACTTTTGGACTGATTTTGACCAAAAATATGGAGGAGGCCTGATGATATTAGAGGAGTTTGCAGGTGATTCAATTATGTATTTCCAAGTTACAGGATATTTTATTTCAAGTGCTTTCAGTGTCTTTGCCTTTTGCAAGAAAAGCTAGAATTTTCATCTCATCTTTTATAAATCTTGTGTTCAGTCATTGCATTATGATTTTTGCTTTGTTCTCCAGTAGCAAAGAAACTCACATTTTTTGCAAGGTGCTTAGTTTTACGGTGAAAGACTTTGTTCCTTATTTCTGGTATTCAGATCTGGACCAGCTCACAGAAATAATGAAAATAACGGGTACACCAACTCAAGATTTTGTTCAAAAACTGCAGAGTCAAGATGTGAGTATTCTTCTTTGTCAGTTGGTTTTACATGTCTTAATTTGGTTTAAGCCATGCTTAGTTCTTAGGCTGGCTGAGATAATAGGTATTGACTACTGGAATGACCCCTGATGGTACCTCTCTGCCTTGAAATGCTTTGCACACCCAGAATAACTACCAGAGATTAAGAGGGCAAAGAAAATTATCAAGACTTTTGAAAAATCCACATATTTAAATACTTCAAAGTTTCTAGCGCCATAAAAACAGTTGAGCTGATGCATTACTATCTTTATCAGAAACATACTGAAAACAGGAACCTATTCAGAAAAAGCAGTTGTTCTGCAGATGTCTCTGTCTTTCCTATTCTTGTGTGGCTGTCCTTCTAGAATCTTTAAGCTATATAGTAGCATTAAAAAAAAAACCCCACCAAAAATTAATCATTAGACTAACTATACAGTTTAAGTACTAATGAATCACTGTATAAGGTTCATTTCTAGAGATTCCTATAAAGTCTCTATGATGTTCTTTCAAATATGCATGCATATTTATTCTAATTAATATATTAAATGTTTGGCATTAGTAATTGAAGCTTTGCATTATCATTTCTTAATCACAGTTTTAAGGCTTGATTTTAAAAAAAGTTCCTTTCAACAAAGTGACACATAATCAGGGTTTATGACCCCAAAAAAATCCATTTGTACAATGTGCTATTAAAGCATTGTTAAGTTACCTATTAAGCATACAGTTAATGTTGTCACATTACAAAGTCAGCAAAGGTCTAATTTAATATTCATGTTTCTTTTAAGGCAAAAAACTATATCAAAAGCCTCCCAAAAGTCCAGAAAAAAGATTTTGCATCCATCTTGAAGTATGCAAATCCTTTGGGTAAGACAGTTTGTGTGGATGTGTACAGTTTGTCTTGTTCTTGTGTTTGCATTGGAGGCAGCAGCAGTGTCAGTTATGTGATAGGTTATGTGATGGTTCTCGTGCTTTTCTCTCCTGCTTTCCATAATTCATAACTTTGATTTTAGTGGCTGAACTTTGCCAAGTTTAGATCCTGCCAAGAATCGGATGTTTCTTAGAAAAGTCAAAAAAGAAGTATTTTGTGTTTTAGGCTCCAATCCAGCATCTGCTTAATGGTTTTACTGGAGCAGCTTTCTCAAGAGCCCTGAGAAATTAAATGCGTGTAATAAATGTTTTCTGAGTATTATATTTAAAATGTAATTCTGAAAGCTTAATCTGATCTACAGTAGAAATGCAAGCAAATAGAAAGCTGACATTTTAGTCATGGAATGAATACATCCTGAGAAACATCTGTGAATTCCTGAGAAGCACTGGCTTGGATTTGATAGCTATAAACAGCCAGAAGAGCATACCAAGTGTGCATAACTGTGACATGGCTAGAGGCAGCCAGAGCTCTGAGATGGCTCTGCCCAAACCTTACCCATTCCCCAATGACCTGCACACCCACAAAGCCAGCTTTATTAGAATATCAATTAGGATAATTGAATCTTCTCCATTTAAGAAGTCAAAATTGTATGTTCAGATACAGTAGAAATAAACATGAATAATAAGCAGCTCTTGCCCTGCCTGCATGGTTAGCTCACTGACCTTCTCAGCTACAGCAAACTACACATTTCCATTTAGTTTTTAGAACGTTTCTTCCTGTCACTTCTGTGGCCATGTGCCTGCTCCTTACACAGAGAACAACTTGCTGCTCATGGTCTAGAGAAGGCTGGAGAGACTCCATGGTGTGGCAAGCAGGAGTTGCAGCATCCTGTCCCACGCTGCTGCCTCTTCCTCCTTTCAGCTGCTCCACCCAACCCAGGAACTTTCTTTCAGGGTAGAAAACCAGAGAATAAACAAGTCATTCATCAAATCTATTTACACTAGCCCATTTCGACATTCTTGACAGTGAACCTGATCCAAAATCCACTGGAGAGGAACAGGGGAGATTTTCATGAATTATTTTGGCTGAGGTCAGACACACAGAGCAGGTAAAGTCAGCGCTGAGGTTCTGAGCACGGACAACTGACTTCTCTTAGTGAACTTCAGAGTGTCCTTGGCCTTGGATTTGGTCACACACTGGGCAATTCTCGTTAGCTCTGCACCCACCTGTTCATTCTGCTGCTGTCAGGTTATGATGTACCTTAGAACCACAACACCATGGCGGCAGTGATGAAGGACACTTGGGAGAGCCCCAGGCACAGCGGTGCTGGAGCAGAGAAGTCCTTAGCTGAGGTGATGTGGCTCTATTGCATTGCAGAAGCAAGGGAGCACCCCCGCGTTGCATCGGGCTTTGTGCACATCCCAGCTTGCTCACAATGCTGTTTTGTCATGCAGATGGTCCCCGCTGGCTATAGAATGGACACCCAATGATCCTGCTTTATAACTCTGTGTATCTATTTCAAATATCTCCAGGACGACGTTTCTGTGTACAAACTGGAATCAGTGGCGTGATTTGAATGGACTGTTTGTGTTCTGTTCAATAGCTGTAAACCTTTTGGAGAAGATGCTGGTGCTGGATGCAGAGAAGCGAATCACAGCAGCTGAGGCTCTGATGCATCCTTACTTTGAGCCAATCCACGATCCTGAGGAAGAGATTGAAGCTGAGAAATATGATGACACATTTGATAACATGGATCTTCCGCTAGATGAGTGGAAACGTGAGTTTAGTTTTGTGATGTTTTCAAAAATGACCAGATAGAAAGGCCATCCAGAAATAGGCATATTTCCCTTTACAGATTATTTTCTCTGCTTTTGATGGAACAGAGTAAATATACAGCATTAAAGTAGAGAAATGCTATTGATAAGCCAGTGTTCCTCTTATCAGGCCCTACTGGAATGATCCCCAAAGGTTTCTTCTCTGCCTCCTAACAGAGGCTCCCTTTCTCCCCCTTCCTTCTTCCCTGTGTCTGTCCTCCCATCTTCTGCAATGTAGGAAAGAAAACATTTCTGTAACAGGGTCTTTTCAGTGGGTAGGACGGGTAAACAGATTCATCAACTGTTAGTTCTGTAGGACTGCAGTGGTTGCTGGCCTTAATTTTAACTGAGGTTCTCTGAGGGAGAGAAAACATATCTGTCTCAGCAGAGATTTAACTATGGATCTAGTTTTCATCTAACATCAGAGGTTTGTATTTTGGCTTTTAAGTGAAGGCTTGACTTTTAAAGCTGATGTGCTCAGTAGCTCTTTCTGAGGATATTGCCCCCTATACTGTAAAGTCAACCCTCACGTCCCTTTGAAAGCACGGATAACATTTCATCATTGGGCTACTTCAAATCTGAAATAGTGACAAAAATGATCCTTGATTCCTGTACTTCTGGTGCTCTTTCTGTTTTTTGGGTTTTTTTGCCTGAAGAGGTCTCTCTCTTCCTGACCTTGATCAGAGCCTAACCATGCTGAGACTGCACCTTGCTTGGGTCTGTGCAGCTCCTTTTCCGATTATACCAGCAAGACTATGCTTATTGTGTTGTTTTCCAGGTATTACATACAAAGAGATACTGAACTTCAATCCACCACAGACATCGGAGTCAAAGGAGACAGCGGTGTAATTGTATGACTCGATCTTTTCAGAACTCAGAAGAAAACAGGAAAGTTGTAAATGTTTGTGATATTTCAGGTGTATAAAACTTTTATAAATAAACTGGATGTAATCTGTTTCATCTTCACTGTAAGAAAGAGCAATGTCTTTTACTCTGCATGTGAAAGTCGGTGCCTTTGGAAGTAGCATTTCAAAACTGTCCAGAAGTTTATTCTTGCCTACAACTTCTTCCTTCTGCATGAAAGGATTCAAGATTCAAACTGTGATAACCTGGTGCCGTCCTCAAAAGAGCAGGTAGGACTAATTCTTCAAATCAGAGATCAGAAGAGTTCCAGTGACTGCCCCGAGCAAGCTGAGCTGCAGAGCGTGTCAGAGACGTGCTCTCCAAGGCCATTGAACCGCCTTGAATGCAAGAAGTATTTGTGCGACTTCCTCTGGAATATTTCACCTTGGTGAGATGCCTGGGGAGGCTAACCAGCTTCTGCTGCCTCAGCTGGTCCAGTGAGTAGTGGAGACACAGCCTGAACGAATGCCTATGTCCCCTGTCCTATGGGAGTGGAGGAGAACCTGAGCTTGGCCAGTTCTGACAGATCCGGGCAAGAAGCAGAGCATTGGTGTCACAGATTATTTTTTTCAAAGTAACCAATGTAGCAGGACAGGATTTGACAAATGATGAACAGTGGCTGGATAAACAATCCCCGTCAAGGGGTACAACGTGTTCCTCTGAATTACAGTACAGTCTCTGTGTGTAAACTAGGGATCAAGGATTTCCAGGGAGAAATTAAGGCTGTTGGAAATTTTGTTATCTCTTCAGCGTCTTAGTATTGAAATGATCACTGAAAAAGTACATCTCAGAGGACGTACTAGTTGTAGAATCAGCGGCGCTGATTTCAGAAATAAAGCAGTATGTGGGTCAGGTTCTAGAGAACAAAATGAGGGTAAAAATGCTACGGTGCAGCTGTTTGTTGGGAATACCTGCAGCAAGCTGCTGTTTTGTTCATGGTGTGGAGAGGTGTTGCCAGGTGCAGAGTAACAACCGTTCCTTTTTTTAGCCTTTTGAACTTGTCTTACCTGGGCAGAGGGAAACCACAGACCTTCTGCTGGGAGGTGCCTTACCAGAGAGTCAGCTTCCTGATGGGATATTGATTTGACTCTTCATAGGTACCTTTTATTGTCTGGGTTCATTTATTGCATTTTCCTAAGTGCTTAGTTTGTAATAATTTCTCAGAGGCAGGAAAAGAATTGGAAAAGCTTTGGTGAAGAATTGCTTTGTGAGATTGCTTGTTCTTGTTAAAGGTAATCTCTTTACAGCTGACTGTTTGAATGTGCATTCTTCCCGATGCAATGTGCTGTTGTGTGTTGCCACTAAGTGAAACAGTTGTAAAGAAAGACATTTGATCTTAGCAGGTAATAACTCAAAAAGAAGTAAGAAATTACTTGGGTTTTTTTTTTTTGCTTTAATAACCAATTTAAACCAGAAGTTTAATCAAGGTACAGTTGTTCTGTTTCTTTCAATGAATGTTTAACACCTGTAAATATTAGCATTTGTTTAAAAATTGTGATAAGGTTTGATTAGCTGAAATGGGCACGTAGAGAGACTAAATGGTGAAAGAAACCTTGAATTATTGATGTATTCAACAAAATAATTATAGTTTCAGAAATGCATGCAAAAAAAAAGCAGAGAATGTGATTTGAAACAAAATGTTTTTCCACGCTACAGGTCACTGAGGAAGGCACACCGAAGGGTCACACCCCATTTTGCACTATCAGCTTTCTGCTTGGACTACACTTCTGTGTTAGATAGGAACAGGAACTTTATTTTTTGCTGAAGAGATGTTTTCTCTTTTAGAATCATGTGCTGCGGTCCTCTTAAAAGTCATGAGAGAAAAGTGCCCATTGGAATGGGTTTGATAGAGCCAGTTGAGGGCAATAGAAGAATGTGACAAAATTCTTTTAATATGTTCCCTCTGTATTATAAATGGAAATTCAGCATCCTGAATTCCAGCAAATGTCTAAAGTCTTAAGATAATGCAAATGGCTCAAATATTAGACTTCAAGGGAGAGTGATTTTTCTTTGAAAAATGGGTTTGTGTTTTCTTTTTAAATGCCAACACTTCAATGGGAATTTTCACTTCCCCCCCATTAGCTTTAGTGAAGTCAAGCCCTAAAAGCCTTCATTGGCTGAGGTGAACATTTCCCTCTCTTAATCTTGACATAATATTGGAGAAGCAGCTGGCCCGCATGAGAAAAACATAGGAAGATAATGTTAGCTTTTTCTAGATATTGGAGGAACACAGAACTCTTGAAACAGCTGAAGAGAAGACCTTGATGCAGGTACCAGCAAAGACAGAAGTACTGCTGGGCTGTCTAGCCAGCAAACAGTCTGCAAGGTAAAATAACAAACACAGAAAGTTTGGCACATCTTGGCATGATGATGTTTCTGCCAAGCGATTGACACCTGCAGAAATGGCTCCAACAGCACTAGAGATTAGCAGTATAAATAGCCCATGAAAAGAAACGTAAGGTGAAAGCAGGAATATTTTGTAGGGGAGGCAGCTGCTGCTTCAAAGGGAGAGACAACATTTCCTAAGTTTGTATTTGCTATTTCTACTGGTGCTAAGCAACTCAGGAATAAGAACCCGGTTTCTGTTTGCCTTAAAGAGAAATGTAAACACGTTCTGCATGTACTTAAAATGTATTGTGAAAAATAAAGATTGGGGGGTTGTTTTTTACACAATAATGGTCTTATTTTCCCCATATGTATTCCCAAATGTATACTCACTCCTGAAAATAGTATTTTTGGTATAAGGGGACTGTTTGAAACCTAATATTGTGGGTACATTTCATGTAATGTGACCTGCTGATGTAGTTTATTTTGGAAATCAGTCAGACCATAGATTCCAACCTTTCTTCCATTTTCCAGACTTTAAGTCAGCCACAGAGCTGATCTGATTGTCCTACTGCCGCCTAATTATTTCTTACAGCATCTTGGATTTTACCAGACATGTCTGCTTTCTTCTGAAGGACAGGATTTCAGTCCTTAAATGCAGTTGCATTCCTTGGCCTGATTGTAAAAGCCAAAGTCAGTGCCCTGTCATGAAGTGTATACATCTTTGAGTTGGGCAGGGAGATTTGAGTTAACAGAGTTTTAGTGGGATATATGGGACCTTTGCCTGCCTCTTCTAGAGCAAGATTGTCCCCTTAAGTATTAGTCTTCATTGCATTGAAGACTCATCGTTCATGCTGAATTTTGATAATGTGGTGGTGTGGGCCAAATGTGGCTCACAATTTCACTACTTGATTATTTTCTGGGTTTTTTTTTTTTTTTTTTTTTACAGGTTACCACTGAGGTGTGGAGCAGATTCAATGTTTGCATTAAATTAGCAGTGTTATTGCAAGAAAA